AAATGCCTGGCTGTCTTTTTAGACCTGGCCAAGGCTTTTGATACTGTTTCACATAAGATATTAATAGAACGTTTGAATGATGTTGGAATAAGAGGAAGAACTTTAGATCTACTGAAAAACTATCTAAAAAATCGAACACAAAGAGTGAAAATTGCGGACTGTTTGGGTGAGTCTTCCACAATTAGTATGGGCGTGCCTCAGGGAACAGTTCTTGGACCGATACTTTTTTAATATATATAAACAATATTGCAAATATTCCAGGACTCTATGGACATCTAATTTCATATGCTGATGATACGGCCATACTGGTTGAGGGAGATTCGTGGGCACAGGCCTGCAATAAAACGGAAAATGATTTGTCTAAAATTCACTCCTGGTTGTTAGGTAGTTTACTAAGTTTAAATGCTCAAAAAACCAAATTTATAACATTTTCTATTACTACAGAAGGCCAACCTAGTATAAATGACTTGTATATTCATAAATATTTATGTGTTAGAATAAATTGTAATTGTCCGAAAATAAATAAAGTATCACAAATCAAATACCTGGGTATAATAATTGATGAACATCTGCGATGGAATAAGCATATAACATATATAAATAACCAATTAAGATATTTGATAAATAAATTTTATCATCTACGAGACATTCTAAATCGTAAGTGCTTGTTTTTGGTGTACAATTCACTTGTTGAGTCAATATTAAGATATTGCATTACAGTCTGGGGAGGCTCGTTTCATAATGTTTTAAAAATACTTCAAACAACTCAAAATTCGATCCTTAAAGTAATTCTGAAAAAAAACAAACGGTACTCAACAAGTGAATTGCAGATCGAAGCAAACATGTTAAGTGTTAGAAATATATACAAATCACAATGTCTAATATGGATGCTGGATAATGATCAATTTACTAACATTTCTAATAAGTATAATACCAGAAGCATGGAAAATAATGAAGTTATTACACCCTTATACAAAAAATCTCATCTACAAAGATGCATTAATTATTTTGGCCCTAAACTTTATAATGCCCTTCCAATAACAATTAGAAACACAAAAAATGTAAATAGCTATAAGAAAAGTATAAAAACATTCTTGTTGCAAAACATGAACTTTTGTGACGATCTATTTTAATGCTCCTACAACTGACTGCTTGTTTCAGCATATTTAATGAAATATTTGATTTTATTTTCTTAATTTTTTTGTTTAAAATTGTAAAATACCTATTTATTTTTTAACGTCTTTTCTTGGGAAGAAGCAATACAACCATGTATGGTTAGGCACTCCCACGAAAATAAATCGTTATATTTATCTTTTTAAAATATGTTAGATAATGTAAACATTTATTTAATAAATAATTTGAATTTGAATTAAAAAATTTGAATAAGAGCTATTTGTAGATATGTCTGTGTTGCCGTAGAAGGTGTGCATCAATGTTGCTGAAAATATGTGCAAGAATTTTGCAGATATGTCTGCATTGCTAAAAATGTGTTGATCAATTTTTAAATTATTGATTCTTTTATTGTTGATTAAGAATATGAGAAACGTATGACTGGCCCCATCAGCAACGCCATACACTGATTTTCCGCCACTGCACAGCATTGCCTCTGTTTGGTGGATCCAAAGTTTTATCCCGGCTGGTAAATTTCGCCTAGGAGGTCGTGGATGACAGTGTCGATGGTTAAGACCACTCCCGGAATTTTGTCGCCGGGCCATACGTTCGATTTAGGCTAGTGGAGTGCAGACAAGGAGGGAAAATATTTTGGTTTTTGAGGGACATTGAACTGATCCAAAACTAAGTAAAAACCGGAATCCCCCTCAACCAGGGATTTAGTAATTACCCCATTCAATTGGGTTTCATGAATGGGGCTCGGTTGGTTAGTACCCTGCTAGGACCTATCTGGTCCAGATGTTTTTTCTTTAGGATGAGTTTCTTTTGCCTAGTGTTTATTTAAACTTGAGTGATTAATGCTTATGCTTATGTGAGCCCTTATTTATGAATTCTTTGCCCATGCTTGCTGTTCTAATGGCAACTGTTGGCGACTGATTAATGTTTACCTGGTGGAGTTCTCTATAAATTGAGGTTGCGAATTTCGCATTAAAATTTAGTTTTTAAGTATTATTAAGGTCATCCAATTTTGGTAGGTTTACTTATCCGGTTTATGCAGACTTGGACTTCAGGTGCATTGACAGGCAGGTGTTCCTTAACCTCGACAGCCACTATTAGCACGTGTTGTTTCTGCGTTGGTTATTCAGGACAAATTATTCGTTGTATCTAATCACCTCACTAACACCCTTTTTACAGGAATTCACACGCAATTTGCACCCTTTTTGCACTTGGTTTTGTTAGATCACGTGTAGAATCATTAATTGATTTTATAAAATTGAACACCGATAGCGGTGGTAGCACTATGAAGGTACGAACGCGTTAAACGAGACCCTAGACACACGACGAATTACTGTCACAACTTACAGCCAACTTACTTATGACACTGTTGATGAAAATTATGATAGGGATTATACAAATTGCAAACAGACACAAGTCTCCATCTAGGGATTAATTTCAAAAATATATTTTTGCCACTGTTGCAGTATAAACTATCAGTAATTTTACAATTATTGCACTAAAAACCCCAAAATTCAATTTTTTCGACTTATGACACTGTGGTCGCCCATGTGCAATATGTAAGTTAAAGTATTTTTATCCAAAATTTTATAAAGATTGGTAAAGACGTTTTAGAGGATTTTTTTTTACTTGTTATGCGTTAATTTTGACGCGCAGTGTAGTAGTAGGGTGGCCCTTAGCTACTAGGAAATTTTTCGAAATTTTAATTTTGCCGCTTCCACCCCCTAATCTTGTTCGAATAACTAAAAATACGATTTCAGCTCAAACTGACTAATTATGCTGAAAAGCGTTATACTTTTCCTAATTTTGACCATTTTTTTTTCTTTATAGATAAACTTACTTATACAAGGTGTCCCCAAACTTATTGGCATAAATTTAGGAAAAGATTGAGCAAGTAAAAATAAGACGAAAATCTAAATAAATATTTTTCCTAATTACTTATGTTTCCAAGATACAGAGTAATAAAGTGTTACTTATCATATCAGTTTTTTTAATATAACTTCTACTATGGTAGACTTGAAAAGGTGATATTTTGCGAACAGTCACTTACTACCAAAACACATATTTACACATAATAACAATTGTTTGAGTGAACACAGTGTCGTAGAAACGGGAGTTGCTTTAAGATTATTGTCCCATACAAACTTTGAGGTTAGGTTTTTATAACATTTGATGCAATTTTTCGATTACTCAGTTCGGCTACTATTAAAAAGGTGTACCTCTCAAACTTCGATAAAATAAACCGTTTCCGAGATATTCGAGATTACAATAATTGTTATATTGTGATTCAAGAAGTTTCTATTTTTTGGCAAAAATCACGAATTCCTACTAGAAGAACTGACCTCTGCGTTGATAGATTACTTAAACTGTATGATAAATGGAAAGGTTTTCAGAAAAATTTGACTAGAACTACAGGCAAGGAAAAAGAAAAAAGAGATCTTTTGTAGAAATTATGGATGATTTGTTTGACATAGCTCATTCAGATTCTCTGGCATTAATGATAAATGAAGAATACAAGAATTTTTAATGCTTCAGCGCCAAAAAGGACTACCCGGCTCCATGGTTGAGTATGAGTATGAGTATGAGTATAAGAGACGTATAACCAGCCCCATTTCCTCTTGACTCTCGAACCCCGTACAGGCCTATGTTTACTTACGCCGATTTTTGTTCTTCCCCAGCAACTGCACGGCTTCACCCGTGTTTGCTGGGTGCGAATGTCCATTGCGTTCCGTACTGTCCCCTATTTGGGGCTCGAGAGCGAGAGGCGAATAGTTTTAATAGACATTCTCGGGTTCGCCGAGCCTATGCTATACGCTCAGTGGGGTATAGGAGGAGGGACGGGAGGGTGTTGGTTTTTGGGGGACAATTACGCCGACTTAAAACTAAGTACGACGCGGAATCCCCCTAGACCAGTCGATTAGTATTACTCCAAACACTTGGGATTACTATTTGGAGTTGGGGAGTTGTTATTTCGCTGCAGGGGTGTAGTTTCCTAGTCGAGGTCTTTGTCTTGTTCGTTATTGTCATTGTCCGTGTCCTGGTCAGATAGTTCCTGCACTTGGTAAAGTGTGTCAGTTGTTTTTAATAAATTTGTCCCAAGCACGTTTTGTGGTACTTAGAGGTTTGTCTTTTTTTCCTAAATTCCAAAATTAAGTATTGCATTTATTTATTAGTTAAACAAATGACAAGCGCAATTCTATTATCTAATGATTACAAATCTAGTAGAGTTTGATTATTAGGCATTTTTTTACTGTGTTAGGGTTATTATGATTAATGTTAGTTTATTCTGTGAGTCTAGTGTTTATTTTCGGTTTCGCTTGGGATTGCATTACGCACTTGTTGTTGACAGATTTATTGCCCTACTCCGTGTGCCTTTCATATGTTTTAAAGATATATGCCGTATTTAAATTGCAGATTTTGTATTAGGTCATGCATATTCTTAAGGTAACTTATCAATTTTTTTGCGGATGGCCACCTCCCCTCTTGTTTGACCTCCTTTGTCTGTCCAGTGAAAAGCGTCCAATGACAGGTGGCACTTAACTCATTCATATCACTTAACACTTCACTCCTCAATGACCGCTAAACCGCTCTAGCTTGGACTCTATGAAAATTGTTTGTTTCACTTTATTAGTTTGCACTTTTTAAAAATTATTGTTGGTTTCAATCTTTAAACTTTTACGTTTCAAGAGCCTTTCCACACGCGTCGCGCCTTCTCAAGCGATGGAACCTGACTACCCGGCTCCATGGTTGGCGTAGATCAAAAATTAAAACGCAAGGAAGAAATGGCACTGAAACGCACAGCAATAGAAAGTGCCAGAAAAAAAGACTTATGACGAAATGGAACAGCTTGCTTCATCAGACATTGATAATTCAAAATGGCGATAATAGTGAAAATTCCCCAGTCGCAAATAAAATCAGCAGCAGCAATAACCGCAGAACCCGAAAAAGTCCCAGCGTCTCGAGGTACATTACAGCTTTTTCCTCCCCACCTCTCTGAAAATTTTTATAGGTTTAAAATCACTGATAGAAATGGGGTTTACATACTTATGGTTGCTGCAGAAGCTTTCGGGCGTAATACCGAAAAACTGGTAATAAATCGCACTTCTTTCTAACGCCTTAGAAAAAAATTTAGAGAAGCGAGACAAACAGAAATTCAACACAAATTTAACCTCAAGGACTGCCAAGAGTGCTACACTGGTATGGAAAGCTGCTCCCAGCGCTCACAGGTGTTGAGATAGTTGATAGACTGGCTGTAATAGTATCTTTTCAAGGCAAGGAAAAATTGTTAGGAGTACCAGAAGTTCCATTTTCTTCGGGAGAAGAGCAAGCCAGGTTTACCAGGCAGTGGATAAGTGAGGTATAACTGACAAAATTCAGGCTCTTTGTTGTGGTACGACAGCAAGCGACACGGGTCGAGTAAATGGAGCCTGTACAAACCTAGAAAAATTATTAAATCGTTGCTTGTTGTATCTGCCTTGTCGTCATCACATCTTTAAGAGTTAGTTTTGAGGAGCTGTTTTGACTCACTAATGGGTGCAACTTCTGGGCCAGATAAGGCGCTTTTTAAAAGATTTAGAGAAAACTGGGCGAAATTCAACAAGAACATAAACATAAGTGGTTGCAATGAAGTATCGGAAGATGTTCGCTCTAACATTCTGGCATTTCTTGAAAACCGCCTTTTGACGCAGAAACAACCGCGAGATGATTACCGAGAATTGTTGGAGCGGCATTCCGAAGAACGGTTTATCGTTTCGTACTACAGGTGCTTTGAGTTATGCAAGGTGGATGGCAAAAGCAATTTATGCATTTAAGATATACCTATTTCAATATCAATTTTAGTTAACTCAAAGAGAAGGACTCTTTAAGAAGAATATGTATTTTTTTGCTCGAGTGTACGTTCGAGCTTGGTTTCTGTCATTAGAAGCAATTATCACGACTTTCTCTTCATGAGTCTACTAATAAATTATCAGGATATTGATCCAGAAATCAGTAAAGCTGTAGAAAAAAAAATTTCAACCATCTTTGATACTTAGTCGAATGTACCAGCCGTTAAGGCAAATATGGGTCAAATTATGTTTGAAACAGACAAAGTTGATGAAGAAGAAGAAGAAAGAGATCAATTGAAGAGTTACATTCTTCACCAAAATGAATTTTCTTCCTTTACTAATATCTATTTTTGGTCTTTTGTGACTGCTATTACAAAAGCTTTCTTTACAGGATTTTCTATTAGCACCGATTTCCTCGACAGAGATTCTTTAGCATGGAAGGATGATCCTGGCTACAAAAGTGGATTTAAAAAACTTTAGAAGATACTTGTGAATGACGTGGCCGAACGAGGTGTCAAATTTATTTACGATTACAACAACATCCTTACAAAAAAAGAAACCGAGAAACAATTTGTTATACAGATCGTTGCCGAAGACCGGAAAAAATACCCAACTGCGACCAAATCCTCTCTTAGGAAAAAATAATGTTTATTGTTCGTTCAATCCTGTTATAGAAATTTTAGTAATTGTGAATAAAAAGGATTTTATCTTATAAAATTTATGTTATTAAAAACTTAATCCTTCTTGCATATTTTATTTGGGTTCAAAATTTGCAAAAAGGGTACTTTCTCATTATCCAGGTGAGAGCAATGCTCAATCTGCCCCTCCTTATGAATGCACATGATGCGTCGGTTTTTTGGATGTCTTAAAAAAAACAAAATGGGGCTTTTAAATCAAATGAGGCATGTAGGTTATCATAATGACTATAATGCCACATGCCCTTTTTTTATTAAAATCGTTTTATAGTTTTTAAAAACTAAAAAAATATAAATATTGTCCCTTCAATCGGACTTGGTAAATAATGTTTTTAGACATTAATAATTAAAAGAAGTATTTTAAAAGGAACTATTTCAAATTTTTGTCATGCCGTCTTATGCTATCTTATTATTCGATTTTTGTTTAAACCCTATGCACATTAAATGATACATTATATAATTACTTTAAAATGTTTAAAATCCGCTTTACACGATGCAATTTGGAGGCAATGCAATGTGCGAGTCGCAAGGAAGTTTTTGCAAGACGAAATAATTAGAAAGTGTCCTATTTTTCGTTCAAAAGCACTGCAATTCTAGTAATTTTTAGGTATTTTATAAATTACCAATATTAACCATTGTTTACTTTTATTTTGTTTACTTATTTTTTTTTTAATCTCTAGTTATTTATTATTTTCAATTGAAAACCATATCGAGTTGTCAGCATGTCATATAGAAAAAAATGAACTCTTTATTATGTTTGTCTACAGGCCACCACTGAGAGATTTAAGAGTTTTCTTAACTCAAATGGATACAGCACTTAATCTCCTAAATCATCATAGTTGCTGGAGATTTTAATGTAAATTTAAAAAAAAATACAAATGATTCTAAAGATATACTAGATCTCTTAAACAATTACAGCTTACAAAAAATATTTATAAATATTTAAACACATAAACAAAAAAATAAACTACCAAGATGAAACAAAAAATCCTCATTTATCTGATCATCTTGCACAAATTTTAAATATTAAAATAAAAATAAATCCTGAAAATCAAAACTATAAATATGTTCAAAATATTTCAGAGGCAAATACCCACCGTTATGTTGAGCATATACAAAATACATTCTGGGACCTTCCGACATTAATTAGTGCTGAAGAAAGCTATATCTATTTTCATATATGCTTTATGCACTTTTTTAAACTTTGTTTTCCTGTAAAAAAATAAACATTAAAACAACGAGACAAAAAATTAAATCAAACAGACAAGCAAGATAATTAAAAAATAAACTCGAAGCCGCTTACACAATCTCGACTGTAACAAAAAATGAAAATTATTTTAATCTACAAAAAACTAAAAAACGATTATAAAATACATTTAGAACAAAAAACAAGATCAAATGACCTTCAGCTAATTAGAGTAATAATAAGAGTAAAGAAATTTGGCAAATAAAAAATTCGAAAATAAAAATATAGGGAAAAAATTCAAAATCCACATTTGAAGGTAAACAATTAAATAAATATTTCACAAACATAGCAAAATCTTTGGATATTAAATACATCAAGAAAAAAAGCTAATAATTTACTAGAAAACTTAAAATACCAGTCAACAAGCTCAATGTTTCTGTATGAAACAAGTCCTTCAGAAATAATTAGAGCAGCAAAAAACTTACAAACAACAAAATCTAGGGATGTATATGGAATACCTGTAGAATTCCTTAAAAAAATAATAAACGAATTTGCCATTAAGTAGTATTATAAACAAATGTTTTAAAGAAGGAATATTTCCAAATCACTTAAAACTTGATAAAGTGGTACCTATATAGAAAAAAGAAAATCCTAATAAATGCGAAAACTATCGACCGATATGAATCTTTCCTGCCATTTAAAAAATTTTCGAGTGGCTATTAAAATTCAGAATTGTAAAATTTATTGAAAAAAATAAACATTAGTTAGCCATCTCAACAGGGCTTTCAAAAAAATAAATTGACTGTATCTGCTATGGTTGAAGTAATTGAAACAGTCATTGAAAACTTTGAAAATAAAACAGATATAGAGGTAGCTTGCTTAGACTTAAGTAAGGCATTTGATTGTGTAAACCACCAAATATTGCTTGACAAACTTTATTAATTCGGAATCAGGGGTCCAGCACACAAAATACTCTCGTCTTATTGAAAGACCGAAGACAAGTAGTTCAGTGGAAAGATAAACAAACATCTGAAGAAGAAATAGACATGGAAGTCCCACAGGGACCTATTTTAGGACCAATTTTATACACAAATATAAATACTTTAAAATCATGTATATATGCTGATGATACCACCTTTATAAATAGTTCAGAAAATACAAAAAGTCTACAACAAAAGTCTGTTAAATCAATCACCGATGCACAAGAATGGTTTGAGGCAAATGGATTAAAATTAAATAAAGAGAAAACCCAAACACTAATATTTTCATTAAAAAACCTACAATATCTGAAGGTATGCATCTGCTAGGGTTTCATATGGACATGGACTCACCATATATTCAATATTCAATAAGTTTTATTGTGAATGAAAACGCTGCAATACTTACCTATTTCGCACATTTTCACAGCGTCTCACATATGGAATTATGCTCTAGGGTTCATGCTCTGAATCATCCAAAATATTCTTGCAACAAAAAAGAGCTATTAGAGCAATTGCCGGAGCACCGCCAACAACAAGTTGTAGAGAACTATTTAAAAGATTTATTATACTCACCATTCCATGCTGCTATATACTCACCTGTTTATGCTACTTACACCAAAATCAAAACAACTACGCAACACACGCTCAAATTCATAATTACAATACGCGACAAAGAGACACAATGATACTACCCAAAGTTCGTGTACAAAAATCTAAGAATAATTTCGTGCATTGGGGGATGAAACTTTTAAATAATCTCCCAGATGATACCAGGAAGATGAACATAAATCTTTTTAAAAAGACTGTAAAAACTTTTTTAATCACCAATGTTTTTTATTCTTTTGATAAATTTCTAATTGTTTGTAATGTTAAACTGTATTCGGGGTCTTGATCTATCTCTTGCTAACTTAGCGGGTCCGTTAAAACAGTAAATTTTGCTCAGTTTGGTTCGTAGTTTGCCACGGTTTGGAAGAAAGTTTGAGTCACTGTCGTATCTCTGGTATACCTACACAGAATGAGATAAAAGGCCTTAGATGAAGAATATTAGTACTTTTTATTATTTTTCTTTTATTTTAATGTTTATTATTTTTTATATGGATATGTATAATGCGAAGCAACAACATAAATCAGTGCTGCCAACGTACAGACTATAATTACAAATGACATTTAATAAACATACCTATTACATACATATTAAAATAAAAAGACTGGGCTAAAAAAATCAATTTCAAATCAATAAATAAAATTTTTATAAGATGAACCGTTTCCTTAAAATAATGCCCTAAACATTAGTATAGTTTTACATTTTAATCTTTTAACTTTGGAATTTTGAAATTCACGTAAAAATCAGTACTCATAAAAAACCGATAAATATTCTTATGTGAAATCAAATGCTTTACAAAAAACGCCTCTTAACATTTTTGGCTAAATTCACTCCATCAAGTTATTTTGGCAAGAACTTCGTTTTGACTTCAACTCTAACCTTGAATAACTTTTGATTGAGTGAATTTAGCCAACTTTCTTTTCTGGTGATATTTTTAGCGGGCCAGTTAGCAAGAAAGATAGATCAAGACCCCGATTATGTGTTAATAATGTAAATTAACTTTAGCTTATTAATTTATATTTTATATCTACAATAGACTGGGCCAAAAAAATCAACTATTTTTTTTTGAAAAGTATATCCAAAATATGGTTTGGGGTGACAAAAAAAATTATTGTGAAAGTTTGAGTCCATAATATTAATATTAAGAGGTCTATCATCGCAATTTTATTTTTTTTTCCTCAGCAAGTTTTTGTCTTAGAACTCCCAAACCATTGAGTTTAACAAAATTGACCCAAAAATATTTTTTGAATAAAATTGAATTCCCTATAAAAAAGGTTAAATCGAATGTAAAACTATACCAATTTTTAAGGCATGATTTTAAGGAAACGGTTCATCTGACGAAAAATTTTACTTTAACCTTTTTTGTAGAGCATTCAATTTTCTTCAAAAAATGTTTTTCAGTAAATTATGTTAAACTCAATGGTTTAGGAGTTCTGAGACAAAAACTTGCTGAGGAAAAAAAAATTAAAATTGCGATGATAGACCTCTTAATATTAATATTATGGACTCAAACTTTCACAATATTTTTTTTTTCATCCCAAACCATATTTTCGATATACTTTTCAAATTTTTTTTTTGACCCAGTATAATCTACAATGTATTTTATATTTCTATTCTGTATTTTCTCAATTAACTTTGACACCCTTGTAAATTTTTGAAGGTATAATAAATCTATCTATCTATCTATCTATCTATTTATCTATCTATCTATCTAACTTATTCAAAATTTAAGTGTTTTACCCAACGGTTAAGTGTTTTTTATTAATTAAGGGCATTTAATTTCCTTACTTTAATTTGAGATTTAACCTTTTTTGCTTGCTTTATATTTATTTATGGCTAAAAAATAGGCATAGGCAAAACATTTTTTGTCTAAATAACAAGTTACATATATATCGATTTTCTATTATTTATCTAGTTATTCATTTTTCTGTACTTTTTAGATTTTAACTTGAGCGCATGTTCTCATCGTCGGAACTAATTCAAATAATTTGGAATAATTACATCAAAATATATTATTTTGTAAAAAAAAACCTGTTAGATTTTGTGTTGAATTATATAAAAATGTATTTGCAGTTATAATCTGGAAAACTCAATGCAGCATTATCTTTATATCTTGTTTCAGGTGCTATGCAATTCCGGAGGACTAAAAGAAATACCAGTAAAACTATTACCGCCATCCATCGAACATTTATCTTTAACGAGAAACCACTTCCCCGTCATTAAGAGTGACTCGTTCGCCGGTCTGAGATACTTAAGGAAGCTTTCCCTCGATGGCAACAACATATCCATTATTAAGCCGTTTGCTTTCAGAGGACTACCAAGACTGCGCGAGCTTTCCATACAACAAACCCCCTTGGACACGGTGGCCCAATTTGCTTTTGCGGGACTTCAAAACATAACATCGATATATCTGAGCCACAATAAAATACGAAAAGTTGAAGCATACGCTTTTGCAGGGACTTCAAACTTAAAATTGCTAGTATTGACAAACAATCCAATAACAAGAATTAAAAGTAATGCATTCAGTGGTCTGTCAAACGTGGAAAGACTGAATTTTCCTTCGGGCGTAAGAATATTGGATTCCGATGCGTTTAACGGTTTAGATACAGTGGGATACCTAAAACTGGCTTTCATGGATTTACCCTCGTTAAAAAGCGGCACATTTCGTGGTTTAACCAATGTAAAAGTATTATCAATACAAGAATCGGACTTGGGAGTTATCGATGGAGATGCTTTCGATGGTATGACTAATATTAAGTTCCTTAATATTTTAAATAATAAAATTGATGCTATAGAGTTTCTTAATTTTACACAAGAACAACACTTAAAGCATGTAAAATTTCAAGGAAATCATATATTGGAGATTCCTAAACCTGAAACCCTATTTATAGAAGTTGAAAAACTTACTGTTGTATCCAACCATTTTCCCTGCGATTGTAATATTCATACTCTTCTACAAGGTCCATTGACTAATGGTAGTTTAGGAGAATTTTTGTCCAAAAATTACTGCATATCACCTTTAGAAATAAACGGTTTACACATGAATGAAATCCATATTGAATCGATTGGACATTGTGAAGAAGAAGTGACACGTGGTAACTTGGAGGCATCCAAAGAACTTCCAAGTGCAGCAATAATATGTTTAAGTGCGAAAAGAACATTTTTGTTAGTGATAATAACAATTAACATTTGGTTAAGTTAATTTATGTGATAAAACTATTTAGATAATGGACAACAACAATTGTAAAAATAAACAAAATCCTCAATAAGAGCTTATATTTAACTGTAATTAAAATCATGTGCTTTGTCAACTTGTCAATACCTACTTATTTATTTTGTATTGTAATTAATTGTAGACCGGGATACGCAAATTGCGACAATAAATTTGTAACAATAATGTTTTAGATTATTTTTAACAAATATGTCTATTTATGCTTGCTTTCTGAAATATAATTTACAAATTATATTACATAAAAAGCCAACCAAAAAATACAAAAAGCCTTCTCAATTAAACCAATGTATCAAATTACGTTTCCTGGTCTGTATTTCTTCAATTATTTGTTTTATATTTTATAACTTACAATTATATATTGTAATATACCTAAATATAATACTTATACATAATATTTACTATATTGTGTAATATATTATATTAAATTAAGTTTAATTTTTTTTAAATATTGCGTTTCTACTAGTACATAATAATTTCCTTCAAATATATTAACAATTCCCAACTGTGGTTTAAATTTCTCATCCCGGCAAGATCGCATTTTTATAAATACATTTTTATAATACTTTTTAATAATACTTTAGTTATATTTGAAATTGCCAAGGGGACAAATTAACTCTAAATATTTTACACCAATACTGACAAAATACTTGGGGGTAGCTCAGCAGAGCGGTATAGAATAAATAAATGCACATTTTCAGGTACATTCAGTACCGGTTTTATTGGCACATGTTTATCTTAATAACAATATAAAAATAAATAAACTTATTATAATAATAATATTATACAGGGGCGCATCGAAAACGTACCGCAAGGCATTACAGGCTGGGGAAAAACTTTTAGGCAAAATCCAAAAATACGTCAAGTTTGTCAGGGGTACAAATTTTCACTCAAAAAATAAAGCAAAATCTTTAACCCCCTTAGTGGTGGTGTCATCCTCCAAATTTTTTCAAATGAGAATGAGGGTCAAGTAATACCTCATTAAAAAGAGCTTTTCATTTCCTATACTTCCTTCTCGTAAATATGGCTTTGTCTTTACAATTAATTGTATTTTGCGAAATCTACCATCGTTTCCTAATATCCATCATCAGAATTACATTCTTCGTTCATTGTCGCCATCTTCTAATAATGGTGGGGCCGCATCCTGTTGTTTCGTAAAACTCTCCATCCGCCAGTTGTTGTTGTGCTTGACGAAGGCTTGTGTGCGGATTATCTTTGAAATACCTTAATGTGCGTGTATGTCTTTTTCTCTGTACACCATTTAAAAGTCTTACTGATCACCTCGCCCTCTTACATTTCGACCTCTTGAATTGGAAATGCTCCTATGTACTGCACGAAATAAAAGCGCATGTGCGGAAAATGGTTTGCGTAGTCTCTTCGTGCAGCGGAATTCCCATTTGCAAAACCATAAACGAAATGTGTGTTGGCATTAAGAGTATGGAGAAAGCAATAGCCATTTCGCAGTTATTTCTGGAGTGCTAAAAAAACAAATACTGTTTACTAAATTGTCATCAATTTGCAAATGTATTATATGGTAAAGTGATTAGGGGAAGGTGGGGGAATTTTGCGCGGTGGGTAATTTTACGCATAAACAATTCTTCCAGATATGAAGTAAATAATACATTTTTTGAATGTTGCAAACTTGGAAACGTTGCTTTGGGTATACGGGGACTAAAGTGTACCGCAATTAAGCTTGTAGCTTTTATCTAGTGACCATGGTCACTAGCTAACTGTGATACATGTACGTTGATCTAAGAAATCCATGTCGTTTCCGCTACGAGTTAAGTTTAAATTTCTATCCAATCGCTTAAATGTTTAAAACAGAACTTTATATGATCTTTCCTCGTAATCTGGTGTATGTTTAAATTGTTCAGGTTAACTTTTGGAATGTTTTTTAGTAGCATAATATTTTTCTTGCAATGGGGGTAATTTTACGCTGAAAAATTGGGGTAATTTTGCGCTGCAAAATTTGGCCAATATGGGAGCTATTGGTACAGGAGCCTAGATTGTTCATCATAAACAGTTCCATTTGGGCACACGCGGAGTGTAGCATAAAAAACAACCCCTAAAACTACATATGTGACAACTGCTGCATGTAGACCCTCTTATTTCTAAGAACAAAAATTTAATTTTTAGTTATTTATTTTTGATCTTGTTTGTTTTGTTTGTTTCATAGAGAAAATAGTTTTGTTTTATTTTTATGTTTTAACATAATAATATAGAAATAAACGGTTTATTTAGATACCTACAAATCTTTCTCTATACAGCGCAAATTTTCCCCCTATGATGCGCAAAATTACCCTGATAGGTGGTGTAGTTTTTGCATACCAAACAATTTTTTTTTATAAATTGCGCATTATATACACATATTATGATTGCAAAATTTCACATTTAAACTTAACAAAGATACTAGAGATTTTGCTTAGATGCGCAGAATTCCCCCACCTTCCCCAATGTTTAAGTAGGTATGAATTCCATGATCTACAAATGGGCTTCTGAAGATGTTTTTAAACACTCAGCGTCAAATCAAAAAAATTTTTAGGAAACTTTTTCTTAGTTGATCGAAGAAATTATAAAAAATGGCAGTTTTTTTAAAAAGTCAGTGGCGTAAACATAGGTAGGAAAAAGGGAACCTACACCCCCAATATCTACGCCACTGGAGTATTATAGGCATTACGTGAGTCAGTATTTCCTTATTATATGTGTAAAAATTGAGCCAAATCAGAATTTATGAGAAAACAAACTATTTTTAGTTTCAAACATAGGTAGGAAAAAGGGAACCTACACCCCCAATATCTACGCCACTGGAGTATTATAGGCATTACGTGAGTCAGTATTTCCTTACTATATCTGTAAAAATTGAGCCAAATCAGAATTTATGAAAAAACAAACTATTTTTAGTTTCAAACTTTGGAGGTCTGTATCTTATTTATTTTTAATTTTTTGATATACATATGTATCAAAAAATTAAAAATAAATAAGATACAGACCTCCAAAAACATATGTTTTTTTTTGGAAATTCCTTTTGTTTTTTGATTTTCTACTGAGTGGAAAAATTAAAATCAATAAACCCAGGATACCCTGTAGAATGTTTAAATGTGGCAACGCTGTAGCAAGTACCCAAGTGGCCAATAGGAGGTTTTGTTTACGAATTGAATGTAATGGTGAATATTGTTTTTGTGTGAAATATTCAACTTTACGGCTCAGGAGAGGCAAGATTGGATTCCCACAATAGTCATCAGATGGTTGTGTGCATGCGCAGTAAGTACTGCATAATTATATCCATGCTCAGTAGGTACCAGAGGGTTGAATCTATGCGCAGTAGTTTTTTAAAAATTGTACCTATGCCCACTAGGTCCAGAAATCCAGTAACTGGATGATTATGTCCGCGGTTTGCGCAGTAGGGAGCGGATGATTCTATCTTTGCGCAGTAGATCCCAGATGGTTGTAACGATGCGCAGTAGGTAGCAGATTATTGCACGTGGATATAATTATCTGGGAACTAATGCGCATAGATACAACCAACTGGTATCTACTGCGAATGTTTACAACCGAAAACTCCTTCCCATAAATATAATCATCTGAAAACTTCTGCGCATAGATACAATCATGCAAGTAACCACTGCGCATGGATTCAAAAAACAACAGCGCACGAGGTCGGTCATATGGAAACTCATGAGCATAAATACAAACATCTCGAACCTACTGTGCGTAAATACAACTACCCAGTTAGGGTGTAGCACCGCGTTGCCACATTTGATCAGTTGGGCAGCGCCTCTAGCGATCAACGACTAAAGTGTAATTTCATATATATACAAATATATATATATATATATATATATATATATATATATATATATATATATATATATCTGTTTCTAATACAAGTTGAGATCCTGATACATCAAAGACTACCAGAGATCCATTAGAAACAATTATTAACGCGATAAAAAAATTATAAAAAATAATAGCCTACGTAGTTTCAAATAAAGGAAACCAACGAGGGGTAAATTTTTTTAATTTTTTTATATATATTAAACATACCAGATAAGGTGAGATCAAGTGTAAAATCTAGAAAAGGTGAGATCTTTAGATGAATATCATAATATATTCTTAACAACCTGAGGTCCTGTTATGTTGCCAAATTTCTCACATATACAGAAATTGCTTATCGCATTATTCTGCAATGTAAGGCATTTTATCACGTACTATTTGCAAAAAAAAATTATAAAAAGATGATAAGCGAGTTCCCCATTTGCATGATTTTTTTGCAAGTTTTATTTATTCGTAAATAATCCGTTGAGTGCCTTTGAGTGCCATTGATTTAAATAAATTAAATTTTTGCATAAACATGTCCCGCGGGAAAAAACTGTTGGGTCTTGCTTTAGGTAAAAGTGAAAGTGATAACAAAAATGGTAAGTGTTTTTTTATTATTCCAAAAATTACTGGTACCATCAAATCTGGTATAATTTTTAGATGTTTTTGATTTTAAAAATGACGATAATGATCCTTGGGAATCCTATAACAAATGGAGGGCAAATACCGAACATTTAGAAAAAGTAAGAATGAAGGTAATATTTTTTTGTATATTTACACTTAAGACCTAAACCTTTTAGATTCATAATACCTATAAAGTGGAATATACTCCAGAAAGATCGTCAAAAAATAGTTCAACAATAATATCTTCATCTTCGGTATATTTTTTTATTAAACAACATATAAAATTAATAAATTAAAATAATTTTAGATTTCTTGGAAACCTGACGAAGATAATATTGATAGTGATATAAGTAATAGCAATTCCACATCCAAAAGTGAAATTTTGTCCTTAGAAGAAATACAGGTTTAATAATTTATTTAAAAATAACATATTTATTTTAATATTTAAATTTTTGTTTAGAATATTCAAAATAATTTACCTCCTTTAAACCATAGCCAAGCTGATTTGGATGAAACACAGGTTTGGTAATTTATTTAAAAAAAGACTTATTTATTCAAATATTTTAATTTTTGTTTAGGATATTCAGAATAATTTATCGACATTAAATCATAGCCATAGGGATTTGGATGAAATACAGGTTTAGCAATTTATTTTAAAAAATACATATTTATTTTAATATTTAAATTTTTATTTAGAATATTCCAAGTAATTTATTGACTTTAAATTGTGACCAAACCAATTTGAATCAACCTGAACAGGTTTGTCATTCCTATTATTATTTTTAGTAAATAATTTATTAAATATTGTAGGGCTCATCTAGGATTCAAATACTTTCAAATGTAATTTTAACTCCTACTTCTAGTAATAACAATCAGGAACATTTAGTATCTATAAAAAACTGCGAAATTGCAACAAGTAAGCGCAATGCTCGAATATGGGATAAAAAAGACAGATGTCCTTTTTGTTATAAAGATGTAACAAACTTTTCGCGCCATTTATTTAGAAATCACAAAAACGAAGAAAGTGTTATAAACATTTTAAACTTTTCTAAAGGAAGTAAAGATAGGAAAAAGTACATTGATTTTTTAAGAAAAGAAGGTAACTTTTCAGCTTTTTATGAAAATAAAGTTCGACCAGTTCAAAGACCAACCTCAAACCTTAGCAAAAAAGAAGATTTTTTGCCTTGCATTTATTGCAAAGGACTATATAAAACAAAATCATTGGGGCGTCATTCAAAAAAATGTTTTTTTAATAGCAATCAAAGTATGACTCAAATAAGACATGCAAGTGAGGCACAAACTATTTTGGCATTTACTGAATCTAGACGTACCTTTTTAAATAGATTACGTCTTAAAACTGAAGTATTTCCCACCATGCATGCTGATAGAATTTCGTTAAATGGAAAAAAAGATCCAATTATTTGTCAATATGCTGAAGATTACTTAAGAAAACACAAAAGGCCCCATATAAAAAATTTAGTGGCCAATAAAATAAGGGAATTAGGCAGATTTCTTATTCCAATGAAAGAGATCTATAAAATAGATAATATGCTAGATGCTCTTAAACCAGAAAATTATGATAAAGTGGTTTCTGCAGTAAGAATTATTTCTGGATATAATGAAACAGACAAATCATTCCAAGCACCTTCCTTAGCTCTTCATTTTAAAACAATTTTATTATCAGTTTGTTCTGCAGCTAAAACTTTATTGTTAAAAAAAGATCCAATTTTACCTGTAACTGACTATGACAACATTTTGAAAAAATTAAAAGATTTTAGAGAATTGGTTGATTATAATTGGAAATTTGAAATGGGAAGTTTGGCCCTCAAAGATTTAAACGAAAAATGTTCAACCCGCCCTAAAAAGATACCTATAAGCAATGACATTATTTTATTTAAAGATTATTGTTATGCTTTAGGTACTAAAGCTATAATTTCGTTAAGAAAATATCCTTACAATTTAAAGTTATTTAAGGATCTAATTGAAGTAACTTTGGCATTAACAATTTTAATTAACAGAAAAAGAATTGGTGATGTTCAGTATTTAAAACAAAATACTTATCATGAATCTGAGAATAATTTTCAAAAAGATTGTTTTGACGTTTTAACAGATGTAGAAAAAGAGATATCAAAAAATTTTAAAAGAGTGGTAACAATAGGAAAAGGTAGTAAGCCTGTCCCCATTCTTTTTCCAAGAAAAATTCAAGAATATATCGAGGTAATTTTTGAAGTAAGAAATAAGACAGATTTCATCCCAACAGCTAACCCTTATTTATTTGCGTTACCTGGCAGTACCACTAAATGGATAGATGGATCCAGGGTATTAAGAAAATTTGCCGCAAATTGTGGAGCTGAAAACCCGTTAACTTTAACATCATCACGACTACGCAAACAAATCGCTACCGTTCTTCAAATTTTAAATTTAAATGAAATAGAAATGGAACAGGTAGCTAGTTTTATGGGCCATACAAAGAAAACCCACGAAGAGTTTTATAGGTATAATTTATTATCTTAACATTATTTTAATTGTTACTGTTTTTGTCATTATTTTTTTAGGTTGCCACAGGAGTTATTTCAAACTTCCAAAATTGCCAAATTACTATTAATGATGGAAAGGGGAGTGAACAAAGACGATCAAGGTAAATCTTTGGAACAATTGGATATAGAACTAGAAACAGATGAATTACTTGAAATACAGGAGAAAACTAAAGGTAAGTTTTTAAATTCAGGTTTAATCTTCAAATTATTTTTGTATTCTAATTTTAGATGCATCCACTTCGAATATGGTAGAATCCAATACAACATTTGAAAATGAAGATTTAGTTAGTACACAAGAAATTAAAAGTAAATATTGTTTTAATAATTTCATTACCTCAGATTAATTTTGCATACTTTTAAGGCGTATCCAACACAAATGAAAAGGCTAATTTTAAAATTGATCCCAAACCATCTTGTAGAGGAAAATGGTCAGCCAAACAAAAGAACATTATGCAGGCTCATTTTAAAAAACATATCAAAAATAAAATATTGCCAAAAAAAAATGAATGTTTGGAGTTTAGACTAAAATTTATCAATCAATTTGAAGAAAAAAATTGGATTCAAATTAAAGTTTTTGTATACAACCAGTATAGGAAATAATAATAAAAAATTTTACTGACTTAAATTTTTATTTTTATAAAATTAAAACCTTTAATATTTTACATACAATTCCTTTTTAAGATGCTAAATTCTAATTTCTATCTTATGGTTTATACCTAGCAGGTGAGTCCCGATATTTACGATATCAATAGTTTATCTTTTTAGCTGTTGAATATAATGTTTGTGTCATTTTACCAAATACATTTTTACACCCTTAAAAATGTAATTTGTAATTTTTATTTTAGATTTGATATTTCTTTCGGAAAGCTGAGATAAATTGCTGCAAGGCAAGTACGAAAGTACCTAATATTATTATAATTCAGTAAATCATTTATTGATGAAGACAATAACTTCGCAAAATTTTTAAAAATCCGCGGAGGTCACACTTTAAAAAAATATTATTTGGTGGAATGACCCATATGTATATATATCTACTTACCTACAACTATAAAAAACTTGACATGTAAGGGTGTCGGGTATTTTGGTGCCTCAAAAAGGGTAGTAAGCGTTGACATTATAATAATCTTAAACTATAGAACGCTTGAAGATAAAAATAATTTATTGGGAGATATATAAATTATATAATTAATTGACGACTTTGTTATAGTGCAAAATCATATCATTCAATAATAATCAAAACAGTTTTTAATGCTTTATTGAAATTTTTCAGTGAACATTGGTGTTTTATGAAAACATTACAATTCATGCTCTAGTTAAATGTATAAAAATGGATTGTTGCAACAAAAATAAGATACAAACTTTAAATAACAAAACAAATTATAAAATTATTTATTACACTTCCATGGCTCAGTAGTATATCCATATGAATGACAAACATTTATAACAGTAGGTAATGGGACAAATCGTCGCCGTCTTCTAGGAATATTAGTACAATAACAATTAACCAAATATTCAACAGCTATTCTTCTTTGGTTGGCTGTATTTTGTTGGTGAATACACCTAACCTCACTTCCTTGGGGGCACAGTCGCTTAAAATCCCTTTTAGCAGCTTGAAGATACTGACAACCACTGTCATAGTGGTTATCATTTCTTGTGAATATTCCCACCCAACGGTGAGGGTTCCTTCCAGTAGTCACTTGAGGTGTAATCTCAGTTAATGTATATCCTGGAGGGGTAGCATCCTCCAGTACTCTCATAGCATCTGCATGAATCTGCGCGTTAACATCTTCTGTACAGGGAAGAATATTAATAGCCGCTGTTAGGGTAATGTGTAGCATAAACAAAAAAGCATTCATTGTAAAGTTCTGTAAAAAAATTACAAAATTGTTACATATAAAGAGCAGATTATTTATCTCATAAGGCTGAGTAGTGAGTCTTTCTGCTCCAGGTTTGAAGGCCGACGCATTAGCGGAGACCTACAATTGAACGAAGCACAAAAAGACACGTCTAAGCCAAATGTCATACAACATGTTATCTTTAAGGCATGGTTTTATTTGTTAAACAATACATAAAACAATTATTAAGTAATATAAAGTGAGGTTAGATATCTTCATTACTTTCAGAAGTTATGAGATTTTTTATTGGTACTAACGGTTTTTTTACAGTTTAGGATGTAAAAATCTTCTAAATTATGTTAACATCCGAATCGGATACTTTGGTAGTGAGCGTTGACAATAATAAAGCTTTAAGTTTTTAAGAAAATCTGTTCACATCAAAAATAATAATTTTTTTTTTAAATAAATGAAAAAGTATAAAATTATAAAATTGAATATTTAAATTATCATCAGTAACTGTTTTAAAAACAAGTATATTTTGCAAATAAAATAAAGAAAAACTAAAACCAAAGTATACTTACATGTTTTCATAAAACACCAATGCAATTGCAATATTGCTTCTTTCAACCGCTTATAGAGTTGTAATAGTTGACATCACATCACAATTTTTGTTTCGTCCCTAACTCAACCCCCCACCGTTATTACGCGCATCTACGATGCATGTGAATCACAAACGTTGACACATACATGTTTTCTTCATGCAAGCGTCTAACCCCCGATCCCCTGTGACCCCCAGCATGCATTGTTGGGGGAGACGAAAACCACCACAAAATAAAAAAAACGTATATTCTGACATCATGACATATTTTCAGGGTTAGCAAGGTGTTACGTAATGTCATGTACTAATTTTTTAAATTAAATAAACTCCATCTTATTCGTTATTTATTATATTATAATTTTTACTATATCCTTCAGATACAAATTAATTCTGAAAGATTATGTACTCATTTTTAAAATTAAATAATACTCCATGTTATTCGTTATTGTACATTTACACACATGTTATAAAAAGTTTGATAATTTTGTTAGTTTCTTTTGTTTATTTTTAACCATCCCTTAGCGCGCGACTAGTCCTGAAGACGCGACGCAAGTATTGTAGCCCATAACTTGAGATAAAGTATGTTTATTGATGTATTCTTAACCCATTACATATAATTTGTTCACGTTTTTTAAATAATAATAATAGGTTTAGGCTACAGGCTTTATAGGCTACAATAGTAGAAAAGACAGGTTATATATTTTTTTCTACACTACTACTACTACTCTGAAGTTGAATTGTACCATCTCCATAGGGACAAGAAAGTAGATGTTTCTAAGGCTAGCCTTACAAAACACTCAAAACTGCCTAGGCATTAAAATATAATATTAAGTCCTTAGCAACGTACTTTTACATCCGTTGTAGATTACATATGTACATGTCAAATTAAAATAATTTTAAATGTCAAAATTTTAATTTAACACATTATTGCAGTAATGTAGTGAAGCAAGAAAAATAACGTATAAAAGCCCAGCGGTAAAGTAAATTTTCCAGGCCTAAAGAAGCTCGCCTATACATTTAATTATATATTATTGTAAGAAGTGAATAAAATAAAAAGATCTCATTTTTAAATAATTATTGTCCGTGTAGACATAAAATTCTCTATAAACAATACAAGAGTTTTTCTTTTGTTAAACCGAATAGGTAATAAAATTGTTTTTAAAATCAATGGTAATACACATACTTACCCTTTAAAACTTTGTACATAGAATAAGAATATACATCAGTTCCATAAACAAAGCCTGTTAGCTTTATAAAATATTGTATTTAAACTTAAAAAAAGTTAATTCTCTTGGCCCATTTATATAAAATTTAAAGTTGTTTTATCTTGAAATACAAAATAATTTTAAATCAATACAAGTGTTTCTAGCCATATTTTTTAAATTCCATAATAAATTTGAATTTACATATTTGGCTTAAAAATATTCTTTATTTATATTACCTATCGATAATATTGACCTGCAACGCATTTTTAAAATATTCCGTATATCTAAAACTATTTTAGTCTAAATTTTCAGAAAAAAATTACTTTAATTTAAAATTTTTTAAATCACAGTAAAAAAGAGTGTAACTTTGTAAATAAAAAGAAAATTAAACTTAAAATTTAGAAGAAAAAAAAGTAAACATATTTTATTGTTTCAATTTAAAGTAAACATAAATATAATATAATAATATCATAGTTAAATATTAAACAAGTTTATATAAAATAAAATCACAAAGGAAAATAAAAAATATCAGGACGAAAATTATTCAATTTATTAATTTAACTTAAAAATCTATATTGTTATTGTTTATGTAGTGCTAAAAATAAACGGAACAGCGTTGCCTATATTAACGGATCTCATCTGTCTTTGAAACATAAAGGATCTTAACCTTGAGCGATCGCCACCTAGCGAAAACCTTAATGCACTAACAAGGTATAAAACAAGACAAAATCGGTAAAAGTGGGTTCCAACAAATTTTTTTAGTTTTGCTTTTTACCACTATTACAGACTAAATGAAAGCGATTTACACACGATTCAAAACGAGATCCAAAATTGGATCTCAACTTGTAAAACGGATCTAACCTTGTATAGCAAATATATAAAAATGATCTCATCTTGTTTATATATATATATATATATATATATATATATATATATATATATATATATGTTAAGTGTTTCAATAAGTTTTAAATATTATATAAGTTAGTACTTCGTTAAAGAGCGCATATGCGCACTCCCCTCCAATGTAACTATCTATGTAATAGGTGCACACATAAGAGTCTAGAAAAATTGTCATACAATCAAGATCGACACTAAAACACAAAATATTACAATAATTAATTTTAATTCAAATCCAAAACCAAGTCGCAGTTTATAACACAACAAGAGAAAATACCCAGGATTTCCTATAGATCCTTAACATTGGTCACTTCGAACCAGGATAATCGATATTTTTGAAAATCCAACCACGTGGAAGATCCAGCAACGAGGTCCAGCGCGTAATTTACGAGGTCCACCGCGTCTTCCATCAGTCCACGTCTCTACCTAGAGGTTTGCAAGCCAGAATATCATTTTTTGGGAAAAACCTAACCACACCAGGCCACGAGGTACCGTCAAAAGTAAGTCCATTCCATCATCCATCCAGTTCTCCCATTTTACCATTTGCTTAAATTTGTGCAATTTCCCTAGTAGCAATTTTGTCAAAGACTTGGTCCAGAATGGGTCAAGATACTTTGTACAGATTTTTTATCAAGAATCGGACAAGAATTGTTCCAGATTCTTGGCCAAGATTATTGGGCCAGAATGGGTCAAGATACTTTGTACAGATTTTTTTATCAAGAATGGGACAAGAATTGTTCCAGATTCTTGGCCAAGATTATTGGGCAA